TGATTGTATGAGTTTTTTGTGGTAAGTAGTTTAATCACTGTTAAGGGTCGTGCATCTGTGTTGATCTGGTCCCAAAGAATGAGGAACTAGATAGCTTCTGCAACTTTTGGTTCAATTTAGGGTAAATTTAATCTGCACCTGTAAAGTTCATCTTGCAATTCAGACTGCATTACTTGGATAATATGAACAATAATTTCTTTGGTTATTTTGTCAAATACTCAGGCCAGGATGTACGCCTTCCGTTCACAAATACAAGTTCTTTTAACTTTTTTTTCTTCTGAATTGGATGTAATATAGGCACGTTTTATTGTGTTCACTTATTTCAATCTGTATGTAGTACATATTGAGATATCAAAAACATCTTATGTTTGTGAACGGTGGAGTACCTATGTAATCTTACATTCAGAACTCACAAGCTTAGTGTTGAATTTGGTGACTAAATTGTGTCGGTTTATTGTATCAGTCGTGTGACTAGCAATTGTATGCATTGTCTTTTCCGTGTTCAGACTTTTTGTCTAAGATTGCGCCGAATTTCTGTGTCTGTTGCTGATCATCTCTGAGCTGGAACTTTCAGTCCTCCAAAATTACTGCTTGCCATTGCAGGGTGTTGTTTCAGCCTGAGCTTCAGTGCTGCTGGTGACAAAATCATAGTCTCATTGTCATTCTTAATGATAGGGAAAAGCTAGTTTGTTACAGTATCTTCCTTTGAGTTATTTTTGTTAACATGAAAAGGATTTTATTCATCTAGCAACATTTTACAGAGAGGAGTGTGAAGGGATTCACACTGAATAATGGGAGAACATCTCTCCCTGGACATTGACCTGAACCTGAAGTGAGGCACCTAACCGGTAGACTGAATTTTGACAGCTAACTGGGCCTGATGATGAGCTTTTACATTGAAGCACCTGTTAACATGATCTATTCTAGTTGGATGAAAAACCGCAGACTGTTGAATAGCTGCAAGAAGTGGTCTGATGATCCAATGACCTGCCGTGCTGAAGATGGATGTAGTTGCCGTCTCCGAAGCCAATATCGCGGAATCTGTGAAAGAAGTTTCATGTTGTTGCAGTCTCCGAAGCCAATATCGCGGCAAACTTACTTGCACTAAGCAATTGAAATTCGAGAACAGTTACTAAAAATTAACCTGATCAAATATAGTTCCATCTATTTTTAAGCCCTAGATACCTCCGTTGCACCTCTGAATACCTTGGTGCCGTTTCACCTCATTATTTTCTCAGCATAAAGCTTCTCTGCGACCCCTTTCGACGCCCTCCAAACATCAGCCACTGCACATTTTCAATGCCAAACGAACATACTGTCAACACTGTTTCGTTACATCTCTATCAGTTGATTCGCTCGTCATTATTATAGTACAGTTGCTCGACGTTGCAGTGTACATCGGGTAGTTTCGATGCATGAATAATGAGTTGTATTATTATTGGGAAATTAGCGTGGTAGATAGACGATACAACCATTTGATCACACCATTTCACGATCCAATTTCCGAAAGGAAGTGCCGAAAATTAGCTACAGATCAAAGATAGCTTTCCTCTATTTTTAAGGCGCCGGCTGACCTCCCTGGCGCCACCAGCTCGCACGCCCTGCACCGCTCGTACGCCGCGCCAGGCAACAACCTTTTCGTTTTCCCTCGAATGGTTTGACCTGGGCGCGCCGGCCATGACCGACACGAGATGATGGCGATGCCGTCGTCGGCGTCCTCCACGCCGGCCGCCGACGTGTTGGGCGTGCCGCCCCCGCTGCCGCCGCCGCCGGGCGCGGACGTGTCCGTCATCGTGGGCGTGCTCACGGGCGTCCTCCTGGGGCTCTTCCTCTTCCTCATCTACGCCAAGCACTGCAGGCAACGCGGCGCCCGCGGCGCGGCCGGCCGCCTCGGCCTCGGGTTCCGGGCGTCGTCGACGTGCGACCGGTGCCGCTCCGGCCTGAGCCTCTCGGTCGTCGACGCGCTCCCGGTCGTCAGGTTCGGGGACATGGGCGGCGCCGCGGCGGCCGCGCAGCCGGAGTGCGCGGTGTGCCTGGGCTCGTTCGACGCGGCCGCCGACGAGCTGCTCCGGGTGCTGCCCAAGTGCCGCCACGCGTTCCACGCGGGCTGCGTCGACACGTGGCTGGAGGCGCACTCGACGTGCCCCGTCTGCCGCCGCCGCGTCGGCAAGGAGGACGCGTTCGCCGTGATCCCCAAGCTGGAGGCCGGCGCGGATCACGGTGACGCGGAGTGGTATCCGGCCCGCGAGGCGGAGATGCAGATCGTTGTGCGCCGACCGGCGTGACCAACCGAGGGAGCGGCATTCGACGGATGCATTTCCGGGTCACCATGCATGAGAGCTCGCACGGCACGGCAAGGAGGACGCCTTCGCCGCGACTCCCGAGCTCGACGCCGGCGAGGCTGAGCTGTAGATTGTGGTGCACCGACCGGAGTGACTGGCCGAGGGACGGTGGTTGGCCACGAGGGGTTCGGTAGCCGTCACCGTGCGGTCTAGCTGACGGTCGTCATTCGTTCATGATATTGCTTCGTTGCACGCGCGGAATGTCGCCGGCCGGCCGGCCGGAGGGAGCGGGCTTTTTGATAGCTATATGTATACTAGGCGGGCGTTCACCGTCCGTATGTGAAGTGTACAACACGTGTGTGTATATAGTTTTGGAGTTGTCACGTGACATACAGGAACCCTGTCCACGTAGTTTTTTTTAGCACGGCATAGACGGAAATGCTCATATATACGCGCATTACATTTACCCTTGTGAACGCACATACGCACACCTTATTCATATGAGTACGTCCGATAGGCTGAGCCGGCATATAGATTTTACGAAGTCATTGTAGTCGCCTCGTAGTCGATAAGAGCGTCTCTTCCCACTGAATACGCATCGACGGAATTCTTGAAATAAATTTAGGATAAATACAAGCACCAGGACTTGAACCCTGATGGATTGAGAATACCACTGTTCACCTAATCATCCAATCACAGATTGATTCGTAATATCCATGTTGGTTAGTAACAATAATTGGTGCAAATAAAGAGCTTAGAAAAATCAGATTTGTCACCTCTAAATGCTACGAAGCTAAAAAAAACCATGATGATAGTCATCGGGTAAGTGATTTCGGACACAGCCGCCACCTCCTCCCAAAAAGAAGATCGGGGTTCCTTTGCCTCTCACTGACGCCGCCGCCGGTCCACCTCGTCTCTGATGGCCTTAGGGCCATGGGGGCGCGGTTGATCCCTGCCCTTGCCGAAGGGAGGGTTTTTGTTTTTAGAAGTTTCTTTGAGTTTTATTAGGGTTTCTTTCCTGTTCAGGAAGACGAGAGGGTGGCAACTCCCTGAAGATGGAATAAAGTTCTCCCCGCCTAGCTCCCGTCCTGGTGCTGCGTCTAGCATCGTCGGTGGCCGTGTGTAGGTGTGTCTTTGGTGGATCCGTCTTTGGTGAATTTGCTTGGATCTGGCCGTTCGTCTACGTTCGTATGTCTTCAGGTTGGATCCTTCCGGTCTATGCTACTAGTCATCGGCGAAGGTTGCTGTTTTGGTGAGCTGGTCCTATGTGGCCTTAGCACGACGACCTCCCGACTATCTACTACAAGTCCTACCCGGCTCTGGTGTGGGAGGGGCAATCGGCGGCCACGCCTTCAGCTCGCTTTAGTTATTGTAGTCGTCGCTAGGTGGTCCACAGATCTAAATGTATTTTATTATTATTTCTAGAGTTCGTTATACTGCCATGATTGAAGATGAATAGATCGAAAGTTTTCTTACAAAGAAAGGGGTAAGAAGACCAAGTATATTGTTAGTGAGATTCATGCATATAGGGGACGGTTTACTCATGGGGAGGGCAAAAGCTCCAATGGAGTGAATTTTTGTTGTTGCATCAGCCACTACTATAAGCAGTTTGTTGAGGGGGGTGGGGGAGGCTGATGATGGACTGGATTTTGGCTCCACTATGGCTAGCCGAAAGTGTTTTGGAGTGAGGCTATGGCGGCGGAGAGAGCACAGTGTTGTGTCAGAGAGGGGTGAGCAGTAGTATCAATGATGTTTTGTTTTCCATCCGCATCGAATCAATGAGACTATCGATGACTTCTTCCATAGTTACGTGTACATAGACCTTTTTGTGTTTTTTCAATTACAATATACAAAATCGAGTCGGTGGAAATAATTATGCTCTAATTAGTGGTCACCATTCTACTTCCTCTGTACCACAATACTTGTCGCTTGGGCATTTCTCCGACTAGGTGAAAACGAGGAAAAGTACCTCGTCTTCCTCCATTGCTCGTCCCCTCCGCAAGCCTCCGCCCCTCCGCCGTCCGCAGCTCCCTCACCCTCCGCTGCACCTCCGGCGTCCATCCCCCCGCCATAGCTCCCTTGCCGGCCGCCTTCCTCCGCTCCAATCGAGAGCCCCAGGTCCGTCCCCATCGTACGTCCTTCTCGAATTGATCCTCTGTTGCTGCTTCACTCCGATCGACCCTCTGTTGCTTCGCTCCTCTCGATCCTCAGCTGCTGCTCCTCTGCCTTTGCCACCGGAGACCTGAAAATTTGTGTGGAAATCAACAAGCAAATCAGCACTATGCTGCTCTGCTGCTCTGCACAAACATTTTATAATTGTACTCCAGATCAGTGTTACACCTGAAAATTTTACAGTAGCTCCAGAACAATTGTCTGCCGTCTGTTAAATAAGAAACCGAGAAAGGGCCTGACAAGATGCATCACTCTAAAACCGCCAGCCATGGTCCTGTGTTGAGGAAAAGAAAACTAAATCAACTTTGCTCGATGCAAACAGAAAACTGAAGTACTCCAACTTAACGAAAACAAAAAACAGAAAACTGGAGTACTCAACTTGGTACAGGCAACTTAATTTACTTGAATTCAGGGTACATGCAACTTAACGAAACCCCCAACTTGGTAGAACTAATATAGCCCCTTAAAAATTGATTATGATCAAGTTAGGTCTACTTAACGAAACCCTCAACTTGGTAGAACTAATATAGCGCCATATGCAACAATTGATTATGATTATTCAGGAGTATTTCACTGGAAGACAAGTGAAGCTACAACATTGTACTCCAGTTAAATCAGGGTATAGTAAGCTTGAATTTCAGGATACAGTAAGTTTGAATTTCAAGATAAAACACAAATATATTCATCACAGGAGTCTTGCTTCAAAATGCGCATGCAGGATTCTATGTTCGGCTGTTCGCCACATCAAATAATCATAACTCTAAATCACAGTTAATAGGGCGAGCGAAACAAAGTGCCCACTGCCTCATACGAGCAATTGCTGGCTAGAACCAATCTGCACGAAATAAAGGCTATGATACGCAAATATCCGAATCGTTTTCCTGTCCATCTCAGTAACATACAGAGATGAATCACACACCGAATAATTGATTTGGGAAAACTAGAAAGAGTGAGGCAAAGCAAAACAATAAGTAATATTTGTACTAATTGAAGTAGATGTGGAAATAATTGTGGAGTAACAGTGTTTGCACCTACATAACTTTGTGGAGTACTTTGCTGAATTTATATGCACCTAGGTGCATATAAATAGGTGAGCACTTATCTGAATATATATGCACCTTTGCTGAATTTATATGCACCTAGGTAGAGGGAGTACATGATATGGTCAGGCCCAGGCCCCACGGGGGCAGGGATGCCTACTTGTATTAACTTTTTTTTGAGATAATCTTACTTGTATTAACTAGGCCTGTCCCAAAGGAACACACAACCCACCACCTAGCTCTTTGCACGCAACAGCCTAGGCATTGTGGAGAGCTAAACCAACATGTTCAAAAAAAAAGAGAGAGAGAACTAAACCAACGCCAACGTGGGTCCCCTGTGAAGCTTCACTTCATCGTTTGATCGCTAGATTAGGTAGAGCAGTCTGCTCGCTTTGATTTTGTTTCTTCGACCGCCGTCAAACCGTCTTATGTTGAATTCAGGTGAGGCCGAGGTCAGATTATCTCCTGGATGCCTATGTGCCCACGTCGCTAAGTGCCCACAAGGCCACAACTAATTTCTCCAGACGCCGTCTCAAAGAACCGGAGATGCCCCATCGCCGGCATTCATGCCGTCACCATTGCTAGGAGGCAAGAGGCCGAGTCACTGGCTGAGGCGTAATTTCAGTTTCTAGATAATTAAACGCATGTCTCTAACAATAGTTAGCATATACCATGTGCTACTTATTTTTTTTGCGAATGGGAAACTTTTTAAAACTTAAGCAAAGTCATCACATTGTTGACATAAGGTGTATATCATGTGCTACTTTGCCATGCCAATTGATAAATATTGCGCCTTCATTATTGCAATGGGGCTACTCATAATCAATTGATTGTATATTATTTAGCAATATATCTTATTAGGGATCATGATTTATCCTTTTTGAGTTCACTTAATAGTTAGTATTATGTTAATCTAGTAAGTTTATGTACTGAGAACAAATTGGTTTGAGAACTTCATGTGCCGAGAACAAATTGTTGCAATATATTGATATTGATAACATGTGACATTGCATATATAAATGTTGGAGGAAAATGTTAAGATAACATGCGTAGATCATTCATATTTTTTCTTTTAGTGATCATCCATAGCATTTCACACATTGAGTGATGTACTACCTGTGTAATAGTTTACAGAGGTAGTATATATTGAAGTCCCGGGCTATGCTAATGTGCGTGCGCGTCACAGTGAGCGATTTCTGACCAGGTTTGTAGGCTCCATTAGGAAACAACATCCAACCACACTTTCCTTATAAACATGAAGCAGGGAGAGATAAGAGGAGAGATTTAACCGCAGGTAGAGGATTAGAGAGAATATCTCAGCCGCCCCACACTAAAATGAGGGGGCAGAGAGATTTTAAGGAGATCTCC